TTGTGAAAAACCATTTGATCACCATTATCTGCATGAGAATTTTGATGATATAGCCCTAATTCTAAGATGAATATAACTGTAAAATATATGGAATTTGATTTTTAAAAAGTTATACTTTTCACACAGACGTGCTTATAGCAATTCTGAGGCTACTGTCCATATATCCTGGAACTGAACAAATGGGCAAATACAATAACAATGTTGGGAGACATGATTTTTGCTATTCAAAAAGACAAGTACAGATATTGAATTTGAAAAAATTAGGAAGAGTCTTGTGGAGTTTGATCGGAATTAGAAGTGTCAGCATACAAAATAGACATAGATATATCAGTAGATATTGATGTATGATTGTATAATTGTGTGTCTATACATTATAAAATTGACCTATTTAATAATTAATTCTACATCTACATATTCATTTATGCTGAGATGTCTTAGGTAGTGCTGGAAATTGAACGCAGGGATACTCTACCATGGGCTAAATACCCACTCCTATTTATTTTAAGTCAGGGTCTCACTAAGTTATCCAGGCTGGCCTTCAACTTGTGATTCTCCTGTCTCAGCTTCCCAAATATACGCATTATGACACCTGGTTCCAAATCTGTTTTTAAATGCTATTTTCTACTAACAGGAAGCACAGTTCCTTGGAGAAACCACTGATTCTAGAATTGGGGCAGGAAAATAAGATGATCATGCAACATTTTGTTATGCCATAAATTAAGGAAGTGGCCATAGAATGAATGGAGCATTTCCAAAAGAGTAGAAACCAGCTCAAAAGGACTCAAATCCTAGGACAACGTGAGCATTAAAAAAAGGGTTTGATTATAACTCATTCAATAAAATAAAAATTCATGAATTGATACTGATAAAAAATATAGAAAAATAAGAAGAGAGAATTTTTCGTATGTAGTGTGGCAACTAATAAATATAGAAGGATGACACATTTTTTAAAAATCACCATTTTGCAACTGTCATAGGCAAGAGGCATCAAGTGAATGTAAACTAGTGAATGAAAGTGTGGAAAAAAAACAAGATCATACATAGTCTCAAAGTATCTACCCCCCCAAATTGCTTATTAATTCAAAAAACAAAATAGTGAAATTATAGAAGAGATACCTGGTAGACATTATCTTAACCAACATTACATTAGTGGGAACAAACTGACATAATGTGCTTCCTGATAGGATGCATGGGAGGACACAACATTACTTCTGTAGTATTCCTGCTTAAGCATAACTTGAATCTAATCATGGAGAAACATCATATAATTCCAAATCAAGAGACAGTCTACAAAAGGCCTGAACTATTTTTAAAAAAGTCCATATTATAAAAGACAAAGGCTAGAAACTGTCTCATATTAATGTAGACTAAAGAAACATAAAATTAAATATGCCACAATCTACTAGACTCTAAATTATACAGTAATATGCTTTCAATATCATATTTAAATATTCAGTTCTTATATTTTTACAATTGTAACTATGACTATGTAAGAAAATGTTCTTAGGAAGAGTTAGGTATTTAGGGATAAAGGGGAATGATGTCTATAACTTACTTTCAAACAGACCATAAAAAAGTAATGCATATTAAATTCTAAAGTTTGGTTTTCTTCAAACTCAATAAGTTCCATTATTTTAGTCATTTAAATTTACATGAGACAAAAGAATTCAAAGAGTTGCTTAGTTTATGAAGAAATCTGGCACGTTAAAAAAAGGTATTTGTAGTTTTAATTCATTCTATTTAATAAAAAATTAATGAGTACCTATCCATAGAAATTTTATAATCAAAGTAATTCTACTGGAGAAGGAAAACATGCATGTAAATAAGTATAACATAAAAGAAGCATAATTTAAGTACCAAAAATGAAGTATAAGAAAGCACTAAAGGAATGTTGAGAGGGAGTTATTAATTCATATCACTATATTAGCTAAATTTAACATTTATAATTTACTAGTCATGGTACTTAGTGCTTAATTCATGGAATATATCAATAATCCTATTTGACATATTACTATTATTATTCCATTCTATAAATGAGGCAACTGAAGCATAGAAAAGTTAATATCTGGCTATAGAGTATCTAGCTAGGTGGCTGCACAGCTAGTTTTCAAATTCAGGCAAGTTGATACCATGGTAGATGGCTTAATGAAGGAAGCAGCATTTGAATTGACCCTTAAAAGATTCTTATACTTTCAGCCAGCAAGAAAAGCCGAAAAGACAATACTCAAGGCTGCTAGAAAAATAAAAGTGATGATATGGAAATATTACAAATAAATTGTATAAAAGAAACTGAACAGTTAAAGGAGGGTATGTAAGATGTGAGGAGAGAAGCAGGGAGCAGATTGAATAGATTGAAAATTAGATTCCATCTTGAGTATTAACACAGCCTTTGCCAGTAAAGGGAATGATTATTAAAGGGAATAATATGCAACAAATTTTTCATGTAGTTCAATAGATTTAGTAGAAGGAAGGTCTTTGAGACATCCACATGAACCAAGTATCAACAAAATTTTATTACAATAAAATCTGTCCTAAAAGTTAGTATAAGAACATAAGTAATGTGTTCTTGTAACATTCATAGTGATCCTCCATGACCTAATATAATAATTTTATTTCACAAAGATCCTACCATCATGCAATGTTCGAAATTGCCAGATCTGAAAACAGCAAATCTAAAATGCTACAACACTGCCAGAGTTTAACGAAGTCTACAGCTTTTTAGGAAACATTAAATGAAATGTGCATAAGCATGTAGCTCTGCATTTCAGTTTATTCCTTGTCATAATATTTATGAAAACAAGATGATCCAATTAAAGGAATATAATGAATAATATATTCAATGAACTCTTACAAACAAACCAGAAAAATGACTCATGAATGCTTAATGTTAGATATTCTTGAAATGGCAGTTGACATATGATTGCTCTTATTAATAATAGAAAATACTTTGGTTCTATGGTTAGTTAGGCATAAAGAAAAAAATGTAACATTTAGAAAATTTTTCATTTCTTAATAAATATAAATATTGATAAAAGTCTGATTTTTATTTCACTTATTTTTTTTTTTTTTTGGTGCTGGGTACTGAACCTCATGTATGGTAACTACATGCTCTATCATTTAGTTATACCCCTAGTCTGAAAGCCTGAATTTTTTTATTTAGTAAACAGTAAGTTTATCAAAATTTATACCATAACCAAACAGTATATAAACAAAATCCAATTGCAAGTTATCATAAAAATATCTAAATTTTTGAATGTTAAAAATCATTTATAATTAAAACACTAACAAATTCATTGGTGATATATTTGTACATAATTACTAAAAGACAAAAGAATATCTATTTCATTTTTATAAAATATCCTTAAAGCACAGAACTTAATTCCCCAACATAAACTTCTTCTATTCTTTAAGAATTCTAATTATTTATTTGATCAAAAAATAGAATTGATTTATAAGATGGAAAATATTAGGTAATATCACAGATGAGAAGAATGTGAAAAGAGAAGGCAAACTACTTCAAAGAACATTTTAAAATCAAAAGTTATATGTAGTTAAATATAAAACTTATAAAAAGGGGAATAACCAAAGAAATAGTTCTTTGAACTAGTCTCAATTTTCCCTTTTAAAAAAAAGCACTTTAAATGGTATATGAAATTCAACAAGTATCTTTTATATGTTTAACTTGGTTTCCAAGATTAAAGGAAAACCATACAGTCTTTAAAAATGGTGAGAGGGTTTATAATTTGGTGAGAGGCTGAAAACTGGTATGATAATCTTGAACTGATACTGCAGCTGCCCTGAGAATATTTTCTAATAATTGGGAATGTAAATTTTAATAGCAGGGACAAAGAAGAAGCTAGTCCTTCATCCTTTGCTTGGTAAAGTGTTATAACTAATATCACAACATAAAAGCAAAAACCCTGAAAAGCTCTATTCCCTCTGAGAATTGTGCATTAAAAGTGCGGTACAACAACAAAGGAAAATGATAAAAGAAAATTTATCTATTTAAATCTCAGCTCCAGATAGAAAAGTTTAAAGAATTTGAAGCTGAAAAACTAATACTAAATGATCTTAAAGTTCTAATACTTTGAGAGGCCTGATATAACAAATAAATACAAACACTTTTTGTGGGAATTTACCCTTAACTCAAATCGTATAAAATCTTACAATTGAGATAACCCAAAACTGAATAAGACACGAGGAATAAAGTCAACAACAAAAACAAAAAAAAACCCAAATAGAATTAAACCACTATGAAGATCAAATATTAGAAAGAATAAATATACAATATAAAATCATAAAAAATGGGAAATTAAAAAATAAACAAGAAAACGTTATCAAAAACAAATCAGCTGGAGAAAGTGGCATAGAATATAATTTCAGCTACTTGGGAAGCTGAGACAGGAGGACTGCAAGTTGGAAGTCAGCCTAGGTAGAAACTTAATGAGACTTGTCTCAAGTTAAAAAGGGCTGAGAATGTAGTTCAGTGTTAAAGTGCCCTTGGGTTAAGTCTCCAGTATCACAAACAAACCAAATATAATTTCAAATAATAATATAATTATTTACCTAAATATCTATCAATAAGAAAAAAATTTTCAAATAATATTTTGAGCAGCTGGGTAAAATGGATTATGGACTATTAGATGATCAATGAATTTTTGTTAATTTTTATTAAGTGCAATAATGGCATTCTGATTATTTGAGATGTCATTGTATTATTAACAAATGTACTAAAATATTACATATTACCTAGGATTTGTTTTAAAATATGCCAGCAAAGAAAAAAAAGGAGTAAATGAAACAAATGTGGATACTATAAAATCTGAATGATGTATATATAAAATTTTTATAATAAAAATAATATTAAAACAACAGTATAACCAGAATATTAGATACAGACAAAGTGAGAAATAGAGAACTGGAAGATGGATCTGAAGAGAGCATCCAGATTATGAGAAAAACTTAAAAGGAAAAACAACAAAAACCAAAAAAAAACTCACCTTCCTTTGGACTCACTGCTGCAGGAAGACCATTCCAGTCAAGGGTCCAAGTAGGGCAAGGGTGGGGAGAAAACATCACTTCAATGCCGTTTTCCTAGAAAAGGAAATAGGCTCCTTCCAAATTAATGAATCAATAAAACCCTGTTATGTTTTTAAAGACCAGATTTCTATTTTCTATACTGGAACTCTACTAGCAATAATCATTGGATCTTTCACCAAATATTTAGTTATGTAAAAAACTACATGTTGGGGCTTTTTGATATCATAGTTACTTTCCTATTATTTTATGTTGAGATAATAAAAAGTAATGATATTTCAAATAATGTGTCATCAGTTATAAATATATATGTAGAGATAAAAATATTTTAATACCTGAGAAACACACATAATTAATAAGCCATCATAAATCCATCGAATATCATGGAGAAAAATTATTTGAGGATAAAACTTTATCAAAAAACAATCTACAAGAAAAAACAATCCACACAGAAAATATAAAAAACTAGCTTTGCATTATGTCCATCAAAAGGTCTATTTTAAAAATTTATTCTGATTTGTTATACATGACGGCAGAATGCAATTCATTTAATATTAGACATACAGAGCACAATTTTTCAAGATATCGATGGTACACAAAGTATTTTCAAACCATTCATGTCTTATACATGTACTTAGGGTAATGATGTCTTACTCATTCCACCATCATTCCTACCCCGCTTTCCCACTCCTTTCCCTCCCGCACTTTTGCCCTATATAAAGTTCCTCCATTCCTTCAATGCTCCCCCACCAATTCCATTATAAATCAGCATCCTCATATCAAAGAAAACATTGGGCCTTTAGTTTTAGCATTCTATTCTCTAACTCCATTCATTTACCTGCAAATGCCATGATTTTATTCTCTTTTAATGCTGAGTAATGTTCCATTGTATATATACCAAAGTTTCCTGATCCATTCATCTACTGAAGGGCATCTATACATGAAAACTGTCCAACATATAAGCTCCATTTTAAAGTACCAAAAAATATCCACCATATCTGTCTTTTATAAGGGACAATAATGCCTCTAGAAAAGGATTCCTCTGGTTTAACTAAATGGATCCCAACATTTTAAAGGAGGACCACTTTTTAAAATAGTAAATTTTTTTCAGGTTCCTTTCTATGTTGGAAGTTGTACATTTATTATTTGATCTAGAGATAATGGCATGACATACACATGGATTTGCAGACCCTGCCAATCATATTCTAGGTTCACATCCCACCATTGGTCAAGGTATTTTTACCTCTAGAAAAACCCTACTAAAAGAAAGATTTAAGGCAGACATGGTAGTGAATGCCTATAGATGCAGCACTTGGAAGGCTGAGGCAGAAAGATAGACTGAACCCATGAACTGAGGCCAAGCTGGGCAGCATAATGAGACCCTATCTCAAAATTTAACAACAAAAATGAAGGAAGGAAAAGAAAATTAAGTTCTTAGGATTCAACAGTAACCCCTTTGAATTAATTAATTAATGAGATTAATGTCCATTATGAAATTGGCTCTTTGAGTCTCAAAGGAAACAGTATAAAGATCCTTTGTTAAAACTAGAGATATCACTGTAAGTCTAGACATCTAGAGTGCTCATTTGCTTGTAGAAATAAAAACACATCTCTCTGACAACTTTCTTCTAAATCCTTAATGTTAGTTACACTGAACTTGTTATTCCTCATTTCTATCATACAAGTATGTTGAGAAACTACTTATATCCCATAAAATTTACTCTTTCAAAACATACAATTCAATACTTTTTAGAAGATTCACAGTTGTATAGCCATTAACCCTATCTAGTTTTAGAACCTTTTTATCATCCTCCCCAACAGCCTTATACCCACACACTCAAGAGATGAACCAAAGATCCCTCAGCAGTTTAACCCATCTGATCAAGCACATTAAATTCTGGATATGCCTCAATAATTTTTAAAATCAACTATATACCTACCCAGATATGGTATATAGCCAGGTGGTACACACCTGCAATTCAGTTACTCAGGAGGCTGGGGCAGAGGATTACAAATTTCATGCAAGCCTGTGCAATTTAATGAGACCCTGTCTCAAAATAAAAAATAAAAGGGGCTGGATATTGCTCAGTGGTAGAACATTCCTAGATTTAATTCCCAGTACTACAAAATAAACAAATAAATAAAACCAGCTATTTAATCACAATTCATTGTTTTATCAGTAGACTACAGAGTTTGGCTGAAGAGCAACAGACCTGGTGTCACTACTATAAAGTTTTCTTCTTCATTTCTAAATCAGTAAACTTTCTTTTCCCTAGAGAACTCAAAATACTTGCTGAAAAGAAAACTAGGAAAATATAATGAGAATTTTTCCAGCGAGAAACTCAGAACAAATAAATTATATCAGAAAAATTATATTTTAAAAAATATTCAAATAGTCTATTAAAGACAAAACACTTTTTCAGAGAATTTCATATCGTTTCATATCAAAAGATAGGGGGAAAAAACCCTATTGGTAAAAACTTTATAATTAGTAAAATAATGCCCTAAAGAGAGAAATATATATCATATGTGTTCCTTTTATATGTATAACGAAAGCATTAATAAAACCAAAAAATAAAGTAAAAAGAAAATTCAAACAATTCCAAAATCATAAATTTAGATAAAAACTTGATAAATAAATTGAGAAATTTATCTTTATATTTCTTTAATTTCAAAGTACCATCTCAAAATTAAAAAGACCAAGGCCAAAACCTTGCAATAGAAAAACATCTGGTTAAAACAACACACTTGACCAGATATGATACTACATTGTTCCATGTCCCAAATATTAAAGAAACGTTTTAAGAAATACATTTTAAAATTTATATAAATGGGACTGATTTGTATCTAAAGATACATAATATTAAAAATCTTCAATTTTAGTAAATTTTTAATTTACTGCTTAAATGCAAAAGACTAGCAGAAATATTAATCAGTAAAAAAGTAAAGTAAGATTGCTATAAATAAAATTTATAAGAAAAATTATGTTAATAAAAGATTAGCAGTCAGAGTAGAATGCTCAGCAACAATATCACATGGAATTTTGCAAAGAAAATTTTAACAGTTTAATTACCATTAATTTGGTCATAGTTGGTCTTGGTCCTCCTATAAATAAAGAATCGTTTTGCTCCTCCACACCTGGGACCTCAGTTAAATTCAGATGTTGTTCACCTGAAGTAGTCAACAACTCTGGAAAATGGAGAAACTGGATCCCACACTTAGAAGCTGCTGTTTTTACTCTTGGCACTTCCTGAATCCTCTGGTACCAAGCTGCAAGCAGTGGAAATTCTATCAGCTTCTCAGAACATTTCTTGCATATAATTGCCTAGGTAGGAAAAGGATAAGACACATTATTATGTATTTCTGTTTATAGCAGCTGTATTGAGGTAACTTTACAGATCATGAAATTCACACATTTTAAGGATACAGTTCAAGCAATCCGTTTTAGTAAATGGGGTGTTTTTGTTTTTGCTTATCCATTCACTAATTGATGTATACTTGCATATTTCTAGTTCCTGGCTATTACGAACAATGCCACTATACATAGGTGTATACCAGTGTTTGTATAGAAAGTTTTTCACTTCTTAAGAATAGATAATTCAGAAACAACTTTCTAGGTTATATAGTAACTGTACATTTAACTTTTAAATAAACCATTGAATTATTCTCCATGGTGGCCATACCATTTTATACTATCACTAGTGATGCACTGAGATTCCAATTTCTTTACATTTTGCCAATTATTGACATTGTAAGTCATTATTATCTTTTTTTTAGAGAGAGAGAGAGAGAGAGAGAATTTTTTAATATTTATATTTTAGTTCTTGGCGGACACAACATCTTTGTTTGTATGTGGTGCTGAGGATAGAACCCGGGCCGCACGCATGCCAGGCAAGCGTGCTACTGCTTGAGCCACATCCCCAGCCCCATTATTATCTTAGCCATTCTTGTGAGTATATAGTTATATCTCACTGTGACTTTCATTTGTATTTCCCTATGATTAAAGATGCTGAGTTTATTCACCATTTGTATATTTTCTTTGGCGATGTCTTATATGTTTTTATCATTCATTTTGTAATATAAGAATTGGAATAACTCAACAGTAAGGAAATGAAAAACTCAATTTAAAATGAGCAAAAGTCTGAACAGACAGCTTACTAAAACATATACACAGATGCCAACAAAACATATGAAAAATGCTAACTTGCATGTCATTAGAGAATTGCATATTAAAACAAGGAGGTATTACCACGTATTTGTTATGGTTTAGATATTAAGTGTCTCCCAAAAGCTCATGTGTGAGACAATGCAAGGAGATTTAGAGGTGAAATGATTTGATTATGTGAGCTTTAACCCAATTAGTGAATTGGTCCCCTGACAGGTGTTATATAGATAGGGTGTGGATGGAGGAGATGAGTGTGCCTTTGGGGTTTATATTTTGTGTTTTGTTGAGTAAAGGTGGGAGTAAAACTGGGGCTTTAAGGAAGTTGTACTTGTTAAAAACATTGCCAATATGTAATACTAGAATAAATAAAAATCTAGAACACTGATTACACCAAATGACAGTAAGGATTTGGAACATTAGAAATTCTCCTTCTATGCTGAGATATAGATTGTAATATACTGTCACGACTTATAAAGACAGTTTGGCAGTTTCTTATAAAATGAAATATACTGTTACTATTCAATCTATCAGTCATGCTCTAGAGTTGAAAATTATGTTGGCAGCTTATAATAGCTATATTCATAATTCTCAAGAAGAGATACCAATGAAAAAATGAGGTATCATCTCAATCTAATTAGAATATTTATCATCAAAAAGACAAAAAATAAAAAATCATAGTAATAATTCTGAAAAAGGGAAACTCTTATAYACTGCTAGTGGCAATGTGAATTAGTACACCTATTATGAAAACCAGTATGGAGATTCCTCAGAAAACTAAAAGTAGACCTACCATATGATCTAGCACTTCCACTACTGAGTATATATCCAAAAGAGATGTAATCATTATACAAAAAAGATACTTGCTCCCCCATTTTTATGACAGCACTATTTGCAATAGTCAAAATATGGAATCAATCCAGATGCCCTTCAATAGATGCATAAAGAAAATGTGGGGGCTAGGGTTGTGACTCAGAGGAAGAGCACTTGTCTAGCATGTGTGAGGCACTGAGTTCGATCCCCAGCACTACACAAAAATTAAATAAAGGTATTGTGTCCACCTACAACTAAAGAATAAATTTAAAAATAAAAGAAAGAAAATGTGATATATTTCCACAATGGAATAATATTCAGCCACAAAAGATATAGTGAAACAAGACTGCTATGTGTTCTTACTCATTTATGGAAACTAACAAGTCAACTTGTAAAGGATGGAATGGAATAGAGGCAGGAGGGAGGAAAGATAAAAAGAAGTCACTTCGGGGCAACAAAAGCACAGGGTAATCACTTCTGATTCTTCTTTAGCACAGTAGGGTAATAAATGAAACAACCTATTATATATTTCAAAATGACTAAAAAAGAATAATATATCTAACACATAAAAATGATTAATGGTTAAAGATGGAAATGCTTATAACCCTAATGTGCTTATGACATATTGTACATATAAGTTGAATTACCATAATGTATCCCATAAATATGTACAAATTAAAAGTAAGATTTAACAATAAGATACTTGCTGAGATAAGGACATTAAAGTAAAATAATAAAAAATAAAATTATAAATGTTTAGAAATGGAAAAGGTAACTATAGTAGTCCCCCCATTATGTGTGATTTTTGTTTTCAAAGTTTCAGCTATCCAGTTCAAAAATACTATGTGGAAAATTCCAGAAATAAATAATCCATAAGTTTTAAATGACATGCCTTTCTGAGTAGCATGATATAATCTCATGCTACCCTATTCACACTTGCTCTGGATGTAAATTATTCCTTTGTTCAGCATATCTACACTGAATGTGTTACCAGTTCATTGGTCACTTAGTAACTACCTTATTTACCAGATCGACTATCACAGTATTGCAGTGCTTATGCTCAAAAGTGATTCTTACTTAACAATATCCCCAAAGTACAATAGCTGTGTTCCTGGCAATTTGGATATGCCAACAAAGCCATAAAGTGCTTTCTTTCAGTGAAAGTGCAAAAGTTCTAGATCTAATAAGGAAAAGAAAACAGTAATGTTCCGGTTGCTAAGACCTAAGGTCAGAAGAAATCAACTCATGAATTGTGAAGGAGGAAAAAGAAATTTGTGCTAATTTTCCTGTTGCACATCAAATTGCAAAAGTTATGGTCGTGATGTATGATAAAGAGCTTAAAGATGGAAAAGCTTTAAATTTATGTATGTGTATATGGGGGAAAAAGTATATATAGGATATGGTACTATCCATGGTTACCATCCACTAATGGTCTTGAAGCATATCTCCTATAGGTAAAGCAGCACAACTATAGCACTATTCAGATGATATTTTTATAAAGCAGTATGTAAATAAGGTTTTAATTCATTTAAGTTAGGAAATGTGAAGCTCTTATTCCTTATCCAAATTAATATTATTTTGTTTTCTTTTTGTCATATGCTTTCTCCCTAGCACTACCACCAAATCAATTTCTTCCCTCTTTGAGACCACTGAATTTGTTTCCATATAAACAATTAAACTGTCACAAACAGATTATGGCTTATGATTATGAACAAATACATGAGTAAAAAGGTCAAGTCACAGAAAATCTCTACAAATATATCTAGAAATTTGTTTGTGGGCAAGAGTCAGAAAGATTAATAAAAAATCACATTAAATGTATTCTTCTATATTTTAACTGGACTTAAAATAAGCAGCAGTTGTTTATAAGGATATAGACTATCTCTAACTCTCATTGAGTACTATAAGCACTTAAAACACTGCCTTGCAAATAATAGTAACTCTGTTGAGCAAAGAACAAATAATGAAGGATTGATTTATTTTCTTTAGATAATTCCTTAAGCTAGTGTTTTTCAAATTGCTGTTTATGATCCATTGGGAGGTTGTCAAATCAACAACCAATGAATAGTGTTTGTGTTTTCTTAGGTACTTATTTATTTTTGTGATGCTGGGGATCAAGCCCAGACCTTTGTGTATGCTAAACATGTGTTCTACCACTGAGCTATACTCCTAGCTTTACTTATGAAATAACTTACTACAAGATGTATACTCTGATATTTTATATTTAATGTTTTTGTAAACATCTTATGGGAATTAGGGACCATGCTAGTGGTAGAGTGCTTGGCTAGCATGTGGGAGGCCTTGGGTTTGATCCTCAGCACCAACAGGAAAAAAAAAAAGTTATTTTGTAAGTATTTATGAGCATAAGCAAATATTAAGGATGTGCATTTATTTGTATACTCAATCACTTCATAAACATATTATTTACTGTGAGTTAAAGTAAAAAAAGTTTGAAAAATAATGTCTATATGGCACTCTGGGAGCCAAAAAGTTTATAATTCCAGAATTCTCAATTACCTCAAAATAGATTAGGTGCTAAGAGAACTGAGTATAATACATGACAAATCAATTAGATCAGAAATGCTTTCTTTTCCTCATCTTTCTTTTACTCATCAGTGACTTATTATTATTTGTTAAATGTATGTGGTATCTTTCTCTCTTTTTGAAAATAAATTCTGATTGGATAACAATAATTCACACTTAAAAGAATGGAGGGGCTGGAGCTATAGCTCAGTGGCAAAGTGCTTGCCAACCATGCAGGAGATCCTGGTTTGATCCCAGTATCCCTCTCCCACACACATAATTGCAGTTTCACTCTGCCTGACTGGTTGCCTAATTTAATCCATATGCCAGGGCACACTTATTAATATTCAGACAATTAGGAGATACTGAAACATATTCAGAAGACTTAAGAAGACATCTTTAAAGAGGTGACACTAATAAAAATGGTATGAAATGAAAATGTGTTCCTCCCCCCTCAAAAAACAAAATCAACAACCAAAAAAATCCCAAAGTTATCAGTTTTCTAAAATCAAAATCATTACAAATATCACAGAGCTCCTTAAAGACAAGAAAATAAATAAAATTTATTCTTAAAACATGGTTAAAACACTTATTGCTGACAAGAGCATAAAATGAAACTCTAAGTGACTTTGCAGAAAAAAAATGTCTTTGAATAAAAAGAAAACCAAGGATGTCACACATCTATTTAAAACACCTCCTTTGCATTCTTTTCTAATCATATATACATATAATATATTGTGTTTATTTTATACCATTTTCCTCACTCATGCCTACTCTTTTGAAAATATGATATACACAGCTCAAAAATGTTTAGGAAAAACAGGGTA